CTGAGCCCGCATTCAAACTTTGATGAGTTATGCTCAATTACTTGTAACAAGGTAGCAAGTATCCCATTAGTGAAGAAAAATCAGAAAGAAATCATAGGGAAGGCCCTATATAGGACCCCTCGCTGAACTGTGCTCAAGGTGAAGAGAAGGTGCGGTCACAAGTTCTCACTTGTTGATATCAGCTGTTTTCCCTTATCACCTCACTCTCACCACTCGACGTGGAGAGAAGCAGCAGCGAAACAACCGCACCATCAGATAACCATTAGGAATGAGTGGAGGGCGGTGCCAATGATTGTAGGTTGGGCCAATGAGAAGAACGACGGCATCGTGGGCCTCCTCACTCGTTTTTGCGCCGCGAAAGTGGTGTAGTTGTTGCCTCTGCGGACCTGACTACCTGCTCACGAAGGGAGAGGAAAATCTCAACTGAACGCGGACACTGCCTTTAAGTAAAATGGGTGGGACAGATGACGTTTATTTCAGTCATGAAGTCTAATTTGTGAGAAGAGATCATCCCACATACAGGACGCTTTTGTGCTTATTACTGAGCTTTTACGGTACTCCCTTTGAATGGTGCGCTGATATTTTTCTATGACTGCTTCTATAGAGATGGGCTTACCAGTTTTCTTCACACAAAACTTCCCATCTGAACACATATCGCTTCCAGTGGTCCCTTTGCAATTTCCCGAAACGGGTACGGTCGTCGACAAATTTGCTGCTGCCATCGCTGTGGCTACGTACGAAGGCAGTTTTTCGGCTCCGGCGCATTTATGACATGAGAGCGAGTTGACTGAAATGATCACTGATTGTTTCTGTCGATTCTGTCCAGAAGCAGACATTTAAGGGCAAATGAGTTCATGCCGTCCGTATCAGAATGGTGCTGCTAGTTATGTGACACGAAGAAACTGAAGAAAAGTCTCATATACCCCTGTTAGTACACCTAACAGAGAGCGTGAGCTTCTATTTTGGACCAATGAGATTCCCGGTGAATTGAGCATGACAGGTCTGCAACTTTTCAGCTTGAAAACAGGTTTAACAACATTTATCCTGCTGACTTTTCGTCTCCTCCGAAACTAGAAAGTCGAAAGAGGTTCAGCAGGCCATTCGTTCAGACACCATTTTGATCTGTTGGAAAATGCAGAATGGTGTTAATTACTAAGATGGCATAGAAACTATGAAAGGTGACCTTTGTGAGGGTAAACATATGGGGTTCACCTGTCACGCCGAGTTGGTAGCATCGCGGTTCGGATAAAATTAACCCAGAGACCACCCGACTAAGACTCTCCAGTTCCCAGTTCTTGGCTTCAAGCTGACAAAGTCCGCAGATTGGAGAAAACATGTGAATCGTAGAAATTCCAAGCGGCGTACTGCTCCTCATGGGAGCGTTACCTACACGTGTTGGAAATAGTTGAAGAGAAGAAGCTTGCCGGTACCTTGTAGATTAAATGTTATTACGTCCATTTTCAAGGCTTCTTAATGCGGCGGTGAAAAGGTCAGAATATTTGGGCCAAGTAAGTTTCATGAAACTCCCCACGTTTTTTCAAAGAATGACGGGAGCATCAGTCACATAGAGCACGGCGCGTTGGAGATCAGTGCGCTATATTTTGCGAGTAAGACTGTTCAATAGCCCACGATAGACAGTTCCGAGAAATTCGTACCTTCATAAACTCCTAAGGTCAGGAGAGCAAGAGTGACGAACAGCATTATAATGAGTAAAGCGAAGGAGGAAGAGCTGTCGCTTAGGAACAAGCTTATACCGTATGCGAGGTGCTATGGATACACGAAGCAAAGAATATATTTGTAAGTTTCCTCGAAAATTGAAAGGCTGAGAACAACACACATCGACCAAGCGATTTTTTGAAAGCACTTCGGGTTCGGTCGTCAGTAAGGTTCAAAGAACCAATTGTCCACAGAGCAGCAGTGACCTGCTGATACCCCATTCATTGCAACGTCTGCATTCCAAATGGCAACTGACTAGACACATAAGCTGCTTTACCTGTGGGAGTGTAGTCAGAGGCATGAAGCACGTTAGTTCATTACCTGCTAAGAAATAATAGCAGGGGCGCTAAATAGTGGCGAAAATTAAGATAGGAAAGCTTCATGTTTTATATCTTGTTTAAGAACGGAACGAAGTCTCAACTGTTCAGATTTTCCAGGTCAAAAACCTGCGAAAAAAGCCTTTATTGTGACGAGCACCGGACGAGAATTTTTGAGCGAATTTCCCGCTGGCATTGTGCCAGCAAGCGCTCCGGTGGATAGCGTTTTGATGCAAAACTTATTTATTTACACGCCCATGTAGCAACGCTTCGCTTGAATCATGCTTGATAAATGAAGGACATGTGCATCAGCATCGATGTGGCTGTCCTGGTCGGCATGTTGCTGCCTGATAGGGCCCTACAGGAACACCCCTACTGGAAAAGGCCTAATGCAGCGCCAGTTCAGAAGAACCGAATTCCGTACTGCTAGACGTATCTATCCTAAACGCCTTCTGGATTTATTGTGCTACTTGCCGCTCAGGTACCCAGCACAGACGGCCAGTTAGGGCTGAACCCAGTCCTCTGTTATGCATGTATCTCTGCATCATTTACGCTCCGTTACCCACGAGCGGAGAGGGCGTGGTTGAGCACTTCATTTGATGGTGGTAGCGGCTGTGCTTGTATAGGAATAACTTCGTCTGAAGCAATAT